GCTTGGATTCTTACCGATGTATAAGCAAAAGTATCTTTTAGCCTTTTATACACTTTTTTATACACCTTTTTCTACTTTTCCAGATAGACAATTCTCACAATGCCTTAAAATTTTCACTACACAACTGGTCTACATTGGGACCCAGTTCCAGTATCAGCACATTTTAATTCCCAAGTTATTCACAAAAATCCACAGTAACTACAAGTAGTTTCACGTTTCCATTTGCCTTGAGGCTTCCATTTCAGGGACAGAAGGGATCAGAGAAAAAAAATGATGACAAAATAGCCCAAAGTAAGCATCAGCCAAAATATCACACAGATTTGTGCAGCCCTCCCAAAGCTGTGTGCGATGTTTTCCATGTCTTTCTCAACTGTACAAGACAAAGCAAGAGATCTGGGGATTTAACAAGTCTTTTTACCTAAACAGAGTTAGTGCTCATAAGTTGGTGCAATGCTTCTCAGCGCACGGCTTTCCATTTCCTGTTTGGTGTTAGTTTTGGGTTTTGTTTGGTTGTTTTGGGGTTTTTTTTTTTTCAATGAAAGGTATTTTAAAAGCTTTGTCTTGAGTGTTAGCCCTCATTAACATTCACATCCAGGGTACAACAAAAGATATCACGCACCACAGTAGAACTTTCCTAAAAGTTGATAGCTTTATTCCCGTGTACATACATACAAAACAAAGGAAAATTTAAAAAGGCTGCTGAGAAAAAACTAGGAGAGAATTAACAACAAATCAGATAGTAGCCCATGTCCACCTCTAAGGTATAGACATATTAATATTTGTGTATGCAAAAAAATTAAAGGAAATGTGGAGGACAAAAAGAATTAATTTAAAAGAGAAAATCATATACAATTGTTTAAATTAAGGAAGGTCCTCGACTGCTGAGTATAAACAAATTGTTCACACATTCAGTGAAACACATACTATCTGTTCACGTCTCCTCACAAGCTGCAACCTGTTCAAGGCTACTGAAGTGTGAGGGGGGAAAAACCCCCAACCATGCACACCTTTTTTTGTCCAGCCAAATCATCCAAACACAAATTAATAAAGCCCAGCGCTTTCATAAGACTTCACATCTTCAAAGTACTGAGCATACATCAGTTTATCAATGAACTCCCCTGTGCTGAACGCAAACTGCATTAGAGGAACGGAGCCAAATCACGAAAGTTCAGGCAAGCCTGACCTCAAACATCTCGCCAGCTTGCTGCCACGGGGCCTGACTGAAACCCCGGCAGGCGTCGGTCCAGCGCTCCTCTGCTTCATGGTGCGCTGCCCCTTCCACCGCCAACTCCAGCCAGCTGCTACCTCCCACCCAACCCACAACTCATAGCAGGTTACCTGAAAGTCACCTCCAGCACCCCCTGCTCGAATTGCGCTTGCTCAGAAGCTCTGGTACAGAGGATTCACCTTCCAGGTGCCCTTTCTGCTCTCAGCTGAGGCCAGCCAAGGGGCTTCTCAGCAAAACCGCACCCAGCCACCTCTGCGCTGAGGGGAAACGGCGGGCGGGAGAGGGCTGGAGGAGCAAAGAGTCCAGCAGCAGCAGCTCACTGCTCTGCTTGGGGCCATTTCAAAGCAGTTGTCCCCTTTG